AGATCATGTTAATCATACTAATATTTGCATGATTCCCAAAATCAAGAGTCCGATTACGCTGTCTGACTACCGGCCTATTGCGTTATGCAACGACTTCTATATAATTATTTCTAAAATCTTGGTCACACGACTAAAAGATTTTTTATCTACCATAGTCTCTGAATCCCAAGCTGCCTTTGTTCCTGGACGATTGATTTCAGACAATGTCCTTATCGCCCATGAACTAATGCATTCTTTGAAAAGTCGTAAGCGAGTCTCTCAAACTTAAATGGCTATCAAAACAGATATGACAAAGGCTTATGATAGAGTTGAATGAGACTTTCTGCAACAAACTATGACTGTCTTCGGTTTTTGCGATAAATGGATTCAATGGATTATGACTGCTGTACGTACAGTTAAATACTTGGTTCTAATTAATGGTAAACCCCAAGGCACTATTGTCCCGAAATGTGGGTTAAGACAGGGTGATCCATTATCTCCATATATATTCATCCTTTGTGCTGATGTAATGAGTCATATGTTGGACATGAAAACTACACAAGGATGGATTCTTGGAATTCAAATCACCAATGAAGCCCCTCAGATAACGCATCTACTTTTTGCTGATGATTCTCTATTTTTCTGTCAAGCAAATGAGAAGAATTGTACTGCAATTCGGGAGGTCCTTACGCTGTATAAACAATGTTCCGACCAAAAAATAAACCAAGGAAAATCAATGATTACCTTTGGTTCTCGGATACAAGGCTCAAAGCATAATCGGCTAAAAACCATTCTTGGCATCACGAATCATGGAGGGGGAGGAAAATACTTAGGCCTCCCTGAACAGTTTGGTAGAAAGAAAAAAAGACATTTTCACAAAAATTATCCAGAGCGTCAAACAAAGGACCTCTTCCTGAAGCGCCAAACTCCTGTCTCATGCGGGCAAAGAAATTCTACTGAAGTCAATAGCTATGTCTATGCCAGTTTACTCTATGTCTTGCTTTGAGCTCCCTCATAGGTAATTTCTCAAATCATGTCTATCCTTACCCAATTTTGGTGGGAAAAGCAAAACCAACAAAGAGGTATATCTTGGGTAGTTTGGAAAAAGCTGCAATATTCAAAAAAAAAGGCGGGCTTGGTTTCAAAGACTTACAGATGTTTAATGATGTTTTTCTTGCCGAACAAGCATGGCGACTGTTACAACATCCAAACTGTTTGTTCTCTAGACTTAATAAATCTAGATATTCCAAAGATATAAACCTCTTCGATGCTAAGACGAGACCTTATCAGTCTTAAGGATGGGCTTTGATTCTGCGCGGTGTTGATCTTATTAAATAGGGGACTCTAACAACTATTGGTAATGGTCTCCAAACTCGAATATTCAAAGATAAATGGTTACCCACACACCCTCATCAGCCTGCTCATTCTGCTGATCCAACTAATAACATCTCTGCTGACCCAAGAAATAACATCCTCGTCAAAGACCTCATAATCAAAAGAGGTTGGGATTGGACTGCTTTACATGCACTACTTTCTGTGGAAGATGCTCAACTCGCTACAAGCATTTTCCTAGGACAAAATAACAAAGATGATCAACTTCACTAGAATTATACAAAATCTGGCAATTACACAGTTAAATCGGGCTACTGGTTTTTGCGAAACCATCTTGATTTTTGTTTGCATGCACCGGACATTCCATATGGCAATCCTTCTCTAAAACAGAAGTTATGGTCACTCAATATAATGCCTAAATTAAAGCACTTTTTATGGAAGATTTTTATCAAAAGCCATTGCAACAACTACAAGACTTCGAAGCCGTGGTGTTATACTTGATGAGATGCGCCCTTAGTGTGGATTGGAATCTGAATCAATACATCACTTGTTTTTTACATGCCCTCTTTCAATCTCTACCTGGAGACTATCAAAAACTCCATTTAATTTCCTTACAATTCCTTCACACGAAATAGAAGATAAATTTTGGTTACTTCTAGACGTCCAACGAAAAACGATATTGACACTAAACTATTACCATTCTGGATTTTATGGCGTATCTGGAAATCATGAAATGAACTGATCTTTCAGAAAAAACGCATTTGCTGCGGGAAAGATGTCAATAAAGCCGCTGCAGAAGTCCAGGAATGGATAGAAGCTACGCACATGAATTCTCCTGTTTTAACCAGCAAACATGACTATTTATCTTGGCGTTGACCTCAGTACGGTTTCTTAAAATGCAATTATGATGCTACCTACAATCCACAATTTCAACAGTCAGGTGTCGGATGGATTATTCGGAACTCTGAGGGACACTGCAAATATTGGGGATGTTCCAATACGGGTTTCGCTGCATCAACTCTAGAATCTGAAGGAAAAGCCCTACTAGTGTCACTACAAAACACATGGATTATGAGCTATGATAATTTAATCTTCGAAGGGGATAATAAGATTCTCGTAGATCTAATCAATAAGCACGAAACCAATATCACAATAAGTAATCTGCTAGATGACACTCGGTTTTGGCTTTCTAAGTTTAATCATGTTAGTATTACTCATGCTATGAGGAGTTGTAATAAGGTTGCACATGATTTAGCAACGCATGGCCCATCTAATTTTTTCGATTCAGGTACTTCTTTCATACCTGAGTGGATTATGTATGTTTTGTATTAGAGATAATTACAACCAAAGGCACTTTATAAGCTTATAATTATAATTAAAGGTGTTTTGAAAGAATGGTGTACTTTGATAAGATAAAAGACTAAATTATTCTCATTCACAACTTAACCTTTTCTTCTTTATTTGCTTTCTCAACAATTCTGCGGGTGTTCGTTCCTCATGTAGAGCTAGCTTCAGTGACTGTTTCTATTGCTTAGAGAGAGACGACAAGAGAGAGAGAAAGAGACTTTGGTTTTGTGAGAGATTAAAATATCATAGCTTTTTTCAGATCTTTACATTAAAACTTGAATTCTTCATTGAAAACAGATTTTAAAACTCTAGTTGTTGAATTTCAGATCTGAAACTCTATCGAGAAGGATAAAGCAAATTGCTAACTGTAGCAACTAAAATGATTTATGTTGTAAAATACAAACAGATTTGGTTTTACATAATGATTTTTTATCCAGAACCGGAGGTGTACTGTGTATATGGCGGAGAAAATGATGAAGAAACGATGTTGTCAATGTACATATTGTCAACATTAAATGTTTAATATTGAGTGGTCAATATTGCGTGGTCGACAGTATATGGTCAAGTTTGTGTGGTCAATAATATACAATATTGTTTGTCTAGCGAAATATAAACTGATTTTTGGAATTAAGGGATAATTCATTGTGGATGAAAAAACTAATTACATGGTCAACGAGATTTTAAGCACAATTAGTTGTGGAGATGAGTTTTGCTTGCATGAATCACAAATTACAATTTTAAACCATCAAAAATGTAGATCACTTATAAGCCATTAAAAAAAGTTGTGTATAAATTCAACCAAGATTGACTCTTGATAAACTGCAGCGTTCTGGAAATTTTTGGTTTTTATAGAGGATGTTCTATAATGAACAATTCCGAGCTTGGTTTTCACAGAGGCGGAGACAATGTCTGTAAGAAGCGTTCATAACAGATGTTCTATCATGAACCGTTCGTTGTCCATGCTTCCTTATTCACACTTCATTGTCCATCATTCGTTGTCCATGATTTCTTGTCCAGACTTCGTTGTCTATGATTCTTTGTCCATGTTTCCTTGATCATGTTGTTTCACATTCATGGTGGTTAGTTTTCAGTTTTTGTTTTTCTTATTAATTCTTCGCAAGTTTGGTGTCCTTGATTTCACTTTGGTGTTCTCAAAAATGGGAAAAATAATGGATAATTCGATTGATTGGTGTCTCTAAGAAGTGTTCATAACAGATGCTCTATCATGGACGGTTTTGTCCACGCTTCGTTGTCCACTCTTTTTTGTTTTATCAATGGAATTTTTTGTGGAGAGCTTCTTCTTCACCTGAATCGACAGATGAAAAAACAAAAATTGAAAATCTCTTTGACTAAAGACCATGCTGCAAGATTTAATCGATGGAGAGCTTCTTCTTCACAGTATCTGAGAGACTAGATCTGAAAGATAAAACAAAGAAACAAAGACAATCATTGCTGACTCTTATCGGATTCTTCCGCTACTCCACATCTCCGGGAAGTGAGACGGATTTGCCGGTGACTACTTTGTCCTGATCATCAATCTAACCTCCATTGTAGTTACAAAGTCTGAGACTCACTGTTTGACGGATGAGACCAAGTGTGAAAGTGAGATGCAAAAAAAGAGATGAAAAAGAAGAAAAAAAGATAGCACCTTAATTATAGTGTCGACTTCAATTAGAAGTGGAGGATAATAAATTTTTCTTATCAACATCCAAAAATAATATTAAAAGTTTTTATTAAAAAACTAAAGATAAAATTAGTATTTTACAATCTAAAAAAACTCTTAAAGTCTCCTGATAGCAACAAGTGCTTTTAAATATAAACAAAAGTTTGAAAAAACTTTTAGATGTAATTGACTTTTTGTATTATGACTATTTAAAATCAATATAAATAAATATGATTAAAAAAAAAGGTTTAATTAACAAGGAAACTATTGCATTGCATTTAGCAAGGAAACACGTTTGAGTTATTGACAGAGGAAAGTAAAGACAGAATGTGAGTTGTTGTTAGTTAGGTGGCGAGAGCCTGGACCGATGATCAAAACATCTGAAAGAAGAAGCCGACAATAGGGGTAAATCCGTCATTTCGTATCTGTTCCCATCCTGAGATTCTCCAGAAAAAAACGAACGTGCGGCGGAGGAGGAGAAAAGCCAGGCGACGGAGAAACCAAGAAGAAGAAAATAAAGAGGAGAAGGAGAAGAAGAAGCACATTGCCTTCATCCTTCTCCTTTTTCGTCTCTGCTTTTTCTCCATTCCTCGATCCGTGAAAAGGATCAGGAATTTCAAAATTCGTTCTTTTTTTTTTCAATTTAGAGAAGTGAGAAAATAAACATTGGTCTGTCGTAATGCCGACGGTCGCGTGCTCCACGGCGAGTTCTAGCGGCGGATGTGGATTTAGGTTTCAATCAAAGACATCATCAGTCTTACCATCAGTCAATTCTCCTAATTTCATCAGAACTATGACAAATCCCCAGGTTTGTTGAAATTCTCCTTCTCTCTGTGACATTAATCAGTTAATAAGTCCCTAACTTTAACTCTGAACTTATTTTTTTCCTCTACTTAAAGAGTGACAGATTCTGTATGCATCGTTTGTCATTGGTACATGGAGATAGTAAAGCGAGAGGAACAACTATACGTATGGCATTAGTCGACGAAAGACAATCAACAGGACAAAATGTTGCTGATCCTCCTCGGATCCTGGTACGTTGCTTTGATTGGTTATCATGTTCTGCTACCAAAAAAGTTTGATACTTTATTCAAAATGTTAAAGCTTGATGCAAGTCATGTGAATTTAGTTGTTAAAATGATTGATTATCTTGTGCCATTTGTTTGCAGGCGTACGATCTTGTTCAAGGGGCACTTGTAAGTTATCATTTGAAATGTTTTTCATTGTTGGAGAGTATAAATCTTGAATCTTGATCCATATCCACTGAGCTTATAGATGCTAACATTAAGGTTGAGAGATTCTCTGTGTGTTTCAGATTGATTTTGGACATTGACACTATAATGCATAACATACGCAGGTGAAATGGAGATGGAAGGAGGACAAGTCTGTTCCAGACACACCCACTGCTGTTCTCTTACACGGAATCCTTGGAAGCGGGAAAAACTGGGGTCGGTATATTCGAAAACAGTTACTCCGTCTTAGTGTTTGTCCGCCTCAAACGTCTATCGAGTTTCCTTTAATCTTGAATTTTAAGGAAACTTTAAAAACCAGTAAAGTCATTTTTGATTCTTGAATCTCTTCACGTTGCTTGTTAGAGGCAAGCGAAGATATCATCAAGATTTTGTAACCGATCAGTTGTTTATTTTAAAGAGATTTGTTTATGCATTTTGTAACTAAGGAAACCTTTTGTATAGGCACTTTTGCTCGAAGATTGGCTCATGAGTTCCCAACTTGGCAGGTATTTGTTTGGCCAGATGCAATAAAACTTTGCACATACAAACACACACACTTATTGGTTTGTGATAACTAATCAGCTCCTCTTGAATTCAATCTTCACAGTTTCTCTTGGTAGACCTGCGTTGCCACGGGGATTCAGCGTCTCTCGAGAAGAGAGGTCCACACTCTGTTGCTTCAACTGCTTCTGATGTTCTAAAACTTGTAAGTTTTCTTTCTCAGGCCATGTCTTATTAGATTATTCATCAAAGAGAAATTACTGTGATATTCGTTTTTCTGTGTTCTGTCATTCTTAGGTTGGTCAGTTGAGGTTAACACCTCGGGTCCTTGTTGGTCACAGCTTTGGAGGGAAAGGTGACTTTAATTGTAATTATGAAGTTCTTCATCCAGATCATTTACTCATATGTTGTTAAGCTGATCAAACTTTGATATGATCTGTGTAGTTGCTTTAAGTATGGTGGAGCAAGCAGCTAAGCCTCTTCCAAGACCAGTCCGAGTAAGTGTGTTTTGTTTTCTTTTATCCTAATGACCCTTGGGAGGATTTAAAATTTATTGTCCTGAATTGTATCCATTACAGGCTTGGGTATTGGATGCTACTCCTGGAAAAGTTCGTGCAGGAGGAGATGGAGAGGATCATCCACGAGAGCTTATATCTTTTCTACGTACATTGCCAAAAGTGGTGAGCTGAGATCTATGTATCTATCTTTCGGCCACTCATCATCGAATCTTTGGACATCTGAATTATTTTTTAGTACGAGATCAAATTTTTGTCTCCGTTGATAAGTTTTATTCAACTTTATTATTGATTATCTTGGGAGAGTTATAAAAAATGCAGATGATTGTTCATGAGAACTTTCTTCTGTCAATATAAAGTTCAACATTGCTATATCAAAGAGAATGTACACATAGTTGATACTTCAATTTGTTGGACGTTAGCAAGATTTTGCAAATTGTTGGTACTTTCAATTGATTATTTGCAAGAAGCACTTTTACACCACCTACAGGGTCATAGAAGTTAGAAGATCTAGCATATATATATATATATATATGCTTATGAACATCTTTTGTGTTTTGGTTTAAGGTCTCATCAAAGCGCGAGGTTCTTAACGCTCTTATCAAAGAAGGGTTTTCCAATGATGTAGCACAGGTATACTAATATCCATTAACTAACTTTCAGACCATTGGTTGATTCTGCTGATACTTGTTGAAATGAAAACAATCTTAATGTATGTGCAGTGGGTCGTTACCAATCTCAGACCTACTGGACCATTGTGCTCTAGCTTCTCGTGGACATTTGACTTGGATGGGATCTCCCAACTTTATCAGTCCTACGAAGACACAAATCTATGGTAATATATTTCTGCTAAACCTCCCTTTGTTTAGATTTTGATGGAGCAAACTTGTATGAGATCTTACCTCATTATACTCAAAACTTCTTGGCAATAAAAGGAACTTTGTTGAGAATCTTCCAAGAGGAGTACATGTGAATTTTCTGAAAGCTGAAAGAAGCTTACACCGTTGGGCTTTAAAAGACCTTCAACGTATTCACGCCGCCGAAGAGCTCGCCTCTGAAGAAGGCGGCGGCGTGGAAATGCATGTTCTGGAAGACGCCGGTCATTGGGTACTATACCTCTGCTTCTACATCGCTTCGTCTTTGTTTCCCCTGTATATTATCTATTACTTAACACATAAACCGGTTTTTTTTGGATTGTGTGTCCTTTCAGGTTCATACTGATAACCCGGATGGTCTCTTCAGGATCTTGTCATCTTCTTTCCAGGTTCTCAGAGCCTAGAGGCTCTGCTATTTTTGTCTGTTTAATACTTTGGAGAAGTTAAGTCTAAATCACATATGACATATACAATATCATCATGTACATTAACATTGTGTCCGTGTAATGTTTTGGGTGACATACGTAACATCATATAGCTGTATCATCCGGCATTATTCTTGACTCTATCGTCCTTTACATTGCTTTTTTGTTCACTTAATCGGAGAAAGTTCTAAAGCTCAAGCTCACTCTACACAACAAACCGACCTCACTCCCTCTTGCTTCTCCATCAGTTTTTTATTGCAACTCTTGGATACTAAACCGTGCAAACCGACGAGGTGGGCTCGCCGGATACCTCGGTGGGCTCAGGCTTGGGCTTGCAGTATACCGAGGTGGGCTTGGGCTTGGGCTTGCAGAATACCGAGGCGGGCTTGCGGTGTAAAGAGGCGGGCTTGCGGCATAATGAGGCGGGCTTGCGGTGTAGTGAGGCGGGCTTGCGGCGTAGTGAGGCGGGCTTGCGGCGTAGTGAGGCGGACTTGAGGTAACCCGAGGTGGGCCTCCTTCAAGCATAAGTTTCATTGGTGAAGAGGGTTCGTCCAAAGGCATACCTGACCCGATACCAACAAGGGAGGTTCTACGTGAACCCTCACTAGACAGTAGCATCTTGAATGTCCATCTCAGAACATTAGGCGTGAAGACTCTATAGAGGAGGAACACGTCGTACCAGTTTGGGAACTTCACGTACGCGTCTCCTCTACAAGCTCCTGCCACAATCATCTTTGCAAATTCCTCCAACTGTCCACCATTTGCAGATACCTTGCAGAACAATTAATGTAAGTAAGTTTTTTGGGACTTTATTTAATAAAGTGTGTAGTTAGATAAAGCTTTGGTACTTCTCTTTCTTCCTTCCATTGCATCTCAGCACCTTCTTCAAGCATAAACTTTCCTCTACTCATCTCACTCCCGATCCATCCATGAGTCGCGATAGTTATTCCAACGTCTCCATCTAACTCGAATCTTAGCGTCTCATAGAAATTGACTAGTGCGGCTTTTGCAGCCTACACAATTGAGATATTAACATTATGTAATCTCGTACGAGAGATAGAAGAAAGATCAAGTAACTGCTTTTATAGTCGTAAGTACTAACGGAATAAAGACTCATCCGTGGTAGAGGCAGCCAGTTCTCGACCGATGCATTCACAATAATCTGGCCATTGGTCTTTTGAAGGTATGGCAATGCTACGTACGTTGGATAAACATTCCCCCAAAAGTTTATGTCCTGCGCAAGAAGCTCATCATTTTTTTTGGTATCTTTTGACTAGGCGTAAGCAAACAAAAATCCGAACCCAACCCGAATCAAACCAAACTTATACAGACCCAACCAAACCATAGTTTATATCCAAACCGTTTGATTAAAGTGTTCTCAAGCCGAACGGTTCGGTTAAAACCAAACCGAAAAACCAATGTGTTTATGTTATGATTTAATTAATTATGTTAAATAACATTATCACACCCTTAAGTGTAAACCACATTATAAAAAAAAATATAACTACTATAAATTAAAGTTTAGTTTGTTAAACTATTTATAGTCCTATTATCTAATAATTCGGTTCACAAATAGTTGAGTTTATGACTTATTTGTTTTTGCTTTGACCAAACTGGACGGAATCATATTAAAAAATGAATTAAATTAAACCCAAACCAAACTAAATGGAATCGAATAGCTTTGGTTGACTTTGGTTAGACTTATTAAACCGTAACTAACCGAAAGGAATCCAAACCGAACCCAAAATTAAACCAAAATGCCCACCCGTGATTTTTTTTTTTCTTTTTGCTATGAAATGATCAATGCAACAATACAAAAATCGGAATAACAAATCAAGAAAGCCTACCAGCAAATGCGGAAATACAGTAGTGTCACTCACTTCCTCAAAGTAAAACGTGTGTCCAAGACTCGCTGTATTCACTAGGTGATCCACTGTGTTGAATCATCATCAAAAGTAAAACAACATTTCCGTTTAATTGCTTCATCAACTCAAAACGTAAAACTACTGATCCGATCGACCAAAGCTATGGAATTGGTTGATAGATTGTGTACCACGCCCGTAATAGTTGACGGCTTGGGTTATAAACCGGCGGCAATCATCTTCTTTGATTACATCAGCAGCGATGATGATGACGTGGTTGGCTCCAATCAGTTTAGCATTGTTGCTCACAACTCTCAGTCTCTGCTCTCTCCTCGCCACCAACACCAAATTCGCTCTTCTCTTTGCGTATTCATACGCTATTTGCTGCGTATCATGTCATTAACAAGATCATCAGCATCCATGCAAAAAAAATTTAAGACCTATATAATACTTCCTCTATTTCATAATAAGTGTCATTTTGGAAAAATGTATCTGCATTATAACTGGATGTATTAACCTCAAAACACATCCAGATACATCTAATTATAATGTAAATACATTTTCCCAAAATGATACTTATTATGAAACAGAGGTACTTATTTTTCCTATAATTGCAATGGGAGTACATTAACTTAATTATTAGATCGGCCGGATCTCATTTTAGTCGAATAATATCTGAATTCAATAACAAATTGAGAAATATTAAACACATATTTTGATTCTATATTCAATTGGAATATATAATAATAAACGCAAAACAGCAAAAACCCACTTTCTGTAAAAAAAATTAACAACTCACACCATATACTCTAATAATATACACATGCAGCACCATCTTGTGGAAATTAGTATGGAGAATATAATATATGGTCTAGAGAAAATAATTATGGAAGGATGGTATATATAATTTGTTTCATGGAAATTAAAAAGGAGAATATTTTAATCATAGTTGGCCATTTGAACATTTTGAATGGCAAGAAAGTCCGGTATTTTGAAGGTCTACAGATTAGTCTCCATTTTATCAGAAAAAGCACTGTTTAATTTGATCCACTCTTAAATTTAAGTACCTCTCCAATGGCGGAGGAAGCTCCGGTGATGACAACGACTTTATCCTCCATGTCTTCGGTAGCAAAATAAGAGTTGTAAAGCCGTTCGGAGAAGCTAATGAAACACAGTAATGGCCATGAGAAGGCCATCACCACCATCGTTGCCGGAGGCGCCACCAGATTCATCATCGAGTTCAACAGATCCACCATCTTTTACTTTATTTTAACTTCTCTTTATACTTTTTTTTTTATCTTCTCTTCTCTTTATACTTTAGAAAACAAACCAAGAGGCTTTCTTAGGATCGCTATCGAAACGAAGAAGAAAGATAAAGTGGAGGCAACTGCATTGAAATGAGGTTTTGTTTTTTGTTTTTTTTAGATAATGAAAAAGTGATTTTGGGGCGGCTTTTGACGTATAGTGATGGATGATGAACAACATGGCTGCATGCAGAGTGAGGTACATAGCCACGTGCTTTGTTCCTATGATCTATTTGAGTTTTAGAAGTTATATAAGATCGTTGAACAAAAAAAAGAAGTTACATAAGATCATTGTATTAAAAATTATTTTGTTGGAGATTAGCAAAATCACTTGTTAAAAATGTAAAAAATGTAATAATTATGATGATGTGCCTATTCCTCATAAAATAGGAGAAACGACCAATTTGACCAAGACAATTTAACCCAAGATGTTTTGACTAAGTAATTATATTAGCATATCCACTCTAGTTCACTTACAATAATGTCTAATTTTGATTACCTGGTGATAAACAATTCAACTAACAGTAACAAAGAAATGAAAATACAAATAAAAATTAAAAGAACTAAACAAAACCTTTTCGTCTAAAAGACTAAAACATCATTTACTTGAGACCGCTTCTTCTTGAACAATCAATTAATGCGTGGGGATATCAATATTATTATGCAGTCTTTTAAAAAATGCGGTTATCCTAATGCAACATGAGTTTATTTTCTAATAATCTTGTCGATGTCCTAGTCAATACAGAGATTCGTTGTGGGAGACTTGAACTTAGAAGAGTCTTGGGATAATGTTCGTATGGATAGATGAACACAGAGCAAGTGGGACCCACGATCTCCGACAGCATATCCTACGTGGGTCATTGTCGTAACAACAACAAACAGACAATATTTATTTACCGCTGGATCAAAATCTCCACCCTCATGCAAAAATTCGTTAACCCCTTTCTTAAAAAAATTAGAGAATTTAAGAAACTAAAAATAGAAAAAAAACAAAAAAACAGAAACAGCTAGATTTTGAGTTGTCTTCTCCACAGAATCTAGGGTTACCCCTAATTTCCCGGGAAACAAAAAGGAATCCATCTCTCCTGATCCTAAAATTCCATTTTCAGAATTAACAACTTTCTGTTCGTCATTTTCTCTCTCTAGATTTTCCGTTATCGACGAACAGTTTGCTGCAACGTTTTGTCCATCTTGCAGTAAGATAACGGAAAAAACCCCAAAAACTGAGGATTTTTCTTGTAACGTTCTTCTTCTCATCATCATTTCTTGTTTCTTGTATCACAAGTCTCCTTCTCTGTTATTTTTAATTCCCCTATTGTAATTGTTTGCTACTGCTTGATTCCTTTCTCTGCCACATTTTCCCTGAAACTCTACATACTTTTAGGTTCTAAAAGATCTTCTTTGAAAGAGACTCAATTGCATAATTTTTCTCAAGGAGAAGAAAAAAAAAGATTACATCTTGATCACCCTCTGCTGATGAACCTGAGATTCCTGGGTTTGATACTTGGGGATCATTCAGGATAAGAATTTGTTTCTTGATGCGGATAGGCGACAAACAAGAAGATTGTGAATCGGCCTGAGTATTATGGGCTGCATCTGCTCAAAAGGAACTGCTGAAGAAGAAGTAAATGTTCAACCTGAGAAACAAAACGAGAACTGGAGCAAAACGTCCTCAGTTATATTGATTGCGCCAGTAACCTCCCAGAAAGACGATTTCTCCCATAAATCCGTGGACGGAGGCTCTGGTGGACGCAAAGCTGATGGATTGCCGCATAAACCATCCGCTAGAGGCAGCGGATTGATTGTTCCTATTGACGACAGTGATGGTAAAACGGTGATTGTAGAGAGACCAACAAGGTCTCACCGGAGATGTTCAACTACAGATATTGGGACAGGAGGAGGAGGTTTCCTGTTTCAGCCAAGTAATGTCATCACAAGTGTCCCACACAGCCCTGAGGCCGAGCTCATTGCAGCTGGATGGCCTTCTTGGTTAACCTCTGTTGCAGGTGAAGCCATCAAAGGTTGGGTTCCTCGGCCTGCAGAGTCCTTTGAGAAGCTTGAAAAAGTTAGTTCCGTCTCTCTTATCTTGCACTCTTCTTGATTGCTATACGTTTCTATTACATTGCCTCTGTTCCTTTTCTTAATTTCTATATGTTTCTATTACGTTGTTTCTGTTCCTTTTCTTGATTTCTATATGTTTCTATTACATTGTCTCTGTTCTTTTTCTTGATTACTATATGGTTCTGTTACATTGTCTATGTTACTTCCAAATCACGGCATTGACTAGTTTCTTGGTTATCTTGCAGATTGGACAAGGGACTTACAGTAGTGTGTACAGAGCTAGGGACCTTGAGACAGGCAAAACAGTAGCCATGAAGAAGGTCAGGTTCGTCAATATGGATCCTGAGAGCGTGAGATTCATGGCCAGGGAGATCAACATCTTGCGCAAACTCGACCATCCAAACGTTATGAAGCTCGAGTGTCTTGTGACCTCAAAACTCTCTGGTAGCTTGTACCTTGTGTTTGAGTACATGGAGCATGATCTTTCGGGTCTCGCTCTTAGACCCGGTGTCAAATTCACTGAGTCTCAGGTATGTTCCAAGGCTTGTTTATGGCAAAAGAGCTCACAGTAAAAAGAAAAGCAAACAATAATCTTTTTTCTTGCCGCTTCTTGTAGATCAAATGTTACATGAAACAGCTGCTTAGCGGGCTTGAACACTGCCACAGCCGCGGAATCCTCCACCGGGACATTAAGGGTTCGAATCTTTTGGTTAACAATGATGGGGTCCTTAAGATTGGAGATTTCGGTCTAGCAACTTTCTATCATCCAGAGCAAGATCAACCCTTGACGAGCCGTGTAGTTACCTTGTGGTACAGGGCACCTGAGCTTCTACTTGGAGCTACAGAGTATGGAGCAGGAATAGATCTGTGGAGTGTTGGTTGCATTCTCACAGAACTGTTTCTAGGGAAACCAACCATGCCTGGAAGAACAGAGGTGAAAAGTTATCTCTAATTCAGTCAATTCCTTTGAATTCATGACCATTCAGCTTAATATTATCTGTATCTTTGACAATGTCTTTTAGGTGGAGCAAATGCATAAGATCTTCAAGTTGTGTGGTTCACCATCAGATGATTACTGGCAAAAGACAAAGCTACCACTCGCCACGAGCTTCAAACCACAACAACCTTATAAGCGTGTCCTCTTAGAGACGTTCAAGAGTTTGCCATCTTCTGCTCTAGCTCTTGTTGACAAGCTTCTATCTTTAGAACCAGAGAAGCGAGGATCAACTTCTTCAACACTAAAGAGCAAGGTATGTAAAAACCCTTTGTCTTTCTTCTCTTGCAGCTTCTTAGATTCACCTTCGAACTCAGATCTTGTTTCTTTCCTCTAGTTCTTCACAACGGAACCACTCCCTTGCGATGTATCAAGTTTGCCTAAGTATCCTCCAAGTAAGGAACTTGATGCAAAGCTCCGTGATGAAGAAGCAAGAAGGAAACGGGCCGAAACAGTGAAGGGACGTGGACCTGAATCTGTGAGAAGAGGCTCAAGAGACTTCAAGAGTACTGTCACAACACCTGAGTTTATTGCTTCAGGGCAGTCAAAAATCACAATCAACACACAGAAGTTTAATCTTCAGGAAGAAAGTAGAACTGTCTCGAGGGGAGAGAACAGAGATAAAGGCTTTTCTCATGTCAATTCAATGATTCATCCAAGTACAGCATCAACATGGAGTAAAAAAGAGATCTCTAGGAACAATGTAGTAGAGCTTAAGTCTACACGATCAAGCAACATTCCCATGACGAGGAGATACTTGTCTCCTTCACATAAAGATGATGCAGCCGTAGAACCCACAACGGTAATAAAAAATCACTTAGAACTGAGTTTTAATTCTTTAGATAAAAATGTATCCTAAGATGTTTGCTTGTCCGGTTTCAGACATACATACGCAAGAAGAACAGAATGCACTGTTCTGGTCCCTTGATGCCTCCTGGTGGAAACATTGATGATATTCTGAAAGATCATGAGAGGCAGATCCAAGAGGCTGTAAGGAAATCCAGGCTTGAGAAATCACTAACAAAGAAGAACCACAAAACAGGTGCATAATTACAAGACATGAGAGAAACTTTGGTAAGACCAAAAACAAGAAACCAACAAGATTCTTCCACAACTTTGTAGCAGTCCCATTGCCACATCCGTGCTTGTGCTAGTAAAGATCTGTTGTTAAGTGGTCATGTGTACATGGGAACTCTTGTTTTTCTCTCTCACTCACATTTTCTTGTGGTTTGGAGAAGCAAATTAAGTGTGTATATTTAGCAAATCGTGTTTAGTTATGCAAAATTAATCTGTAGATTAATTTTCCAGTCTTTTAGCTGCAAAATGCATAGGATTTCACAAAAGTACCTCATTGTCATATACAAAGCCAACTAAATAAACTACCAGAGAAGGTTAGATCAATTGTGTGAGAGAGAAGACGAAAGATGTATTTACCTATTTGTCCTTTTATGTTCTTCTTCACTTTATTTGTAACTTTTCAGTATAGCTAAGGGCAAATATGTAAATTAATCCGATGAGTGGACTGTGTTGTTGTGAATCGATCGTTCTCCTTCTTCAATATCGTGCTCTCACAAACCAACCGCCAAAAATTTGCACTCTGGTTTCTGTGTGAATCAATCGTTTTACTTCTTCAGTATTTAGGGTTTTTGACAAGACCAATGCCGATTCCATCACCTTGTTTTTCGGTTGCTAATAGCATTCTCTGTAATCCGAAATCTTCATTTCCGGGATCGACGGTTCATTCTTATCGATTTCCGAAGAGAATCTCAGGAAACGGAACATGGCTTCGCGAAAGGAGAAGACTTTATGTGAAATCGAGCAACCCAGAGGCGAAAAATGATGAAGCAACACAAAAATCGACTAGTGCTAGTGAAAACACTTCGATACCTTCTGATAATAGTGGCAATTCATCTAGCTTCTTGTCTGTTCTCTGTCCATTGCTCAAACTTTTCTCTGTGAGTCCTCCTATCTTTTACTCTATCTGTTTCTTGCTCAATTTATATTTCTCTTGGCTATTGTTTCTTTGAAACTGTCCGTTTTTTTGTGTGTTCTTGTGTCTCGTTTGTTCTCATGCGTTCATTGTCGTGTGTTAATGTTATACTGTTATGTCTCAAAACTGCTTGACGAGAGTAATAGGTTCTCTGATTACTCTGGAAAAACAGATAAACTTGTTTCTCTAATAATTCTCAGCTGTTGTGTGTTTCAGGGAGGTGACCCTTCTCAACAGCGGAATCATACTCTGGAGGTTAGTCAAAACGAAGTCTGTTAATGTTTTGTAACACTTCTTTTTTTAAGCGTAATCTCCAAAACAAGGCTCTGTAGTCAAATGTGTGTTATAGAAGAATATGTAACTCGGAGAACAAAACTGAATTAGGTAATCTGACATGAGCCAAATGAAGTTTGACATTGTAGTTTTACTGTTTCTATTAAGCCTGATTCTTTATACCATTTCATGGTCCCTTAGACTTATGAGCAGAAAGGGTTATGAGAAAGGATTGAGTTTTCTTCTGAACTTCTCTTGTTTTGCTAATTTGTTACAAGATAAGGACCGTGTTGAAAACGTGACCAAAAGCTCAACATTTTGTTTCCTTTCCGTATGGTTGAGAATACAGGTCGCAACTTCGTCATTTGCATCTGTTGCTAGACTTCCATGGGGATCTCGAGTATCATCTGGGAGTATAGACAACCAAGATGTTTCTTCTAATCCTCCTTTGCGATTGCAGCTTTTTGAATTCGGTATGTTCTTGTTTATGTCATGTAAAGAGAACAGCATTAGTGAAAAGCCAATCTTACATTGTGAGAGGTTCTTGGTTTTTGAACAATAGAGGCATGTCCCTTTTGCCGGAGGGTGCGGGAAGCCATGACTGAGCTAGACCTTTCAGTAGAAGTAAGAACTGAAACATCTTTATTCCCGAGAGATAGCGTATTAAGCAAATAGAGCAAAGTTCATCCTGATATTTGTTTGGTGTTCAGGTTTATCCTTGTCCTAAAGGATCTCTAAGACACAGAGAAATAGTTAGAAGATCCGGCGGAAAAGAGATGTACAACTTTTACATTTGCTTTCGTTTTCATCACTCTATTGGTCAATCGTTAACATTCTGTGAATGAAAACCTGCAGGTTTCCGTTCCTCATTGACCCGAACACTGATACTTCAATGTATGAGAGTGGTAAGTTTTGTGTTCCAACATTAATAGCCTCATTGTCTTCTTCTCTGGATATCTTTACATTAGCTCTCTTCTCTTATTCTAACTGACAGGTGACATCGTAAAGTACCTATTTAATCAATATGGAAATGGAAGAGGCCCTTCCACAGGACTTCTTGAAAGGTGAAACATCTCAGAATTTGCTAATGCATGGTCAAATTATCTGTTTTTTTTTTTGTTGTTGTATAATCTCTAGTTTCTAGCTTGAACATTTCTGTAAATCACGTTGATTAGTTGGTCTTTGCTGTGATTATAAGTTTTTTCACCGTATCACTGACTTCTTAAGAGTTTTCTAGCACCTTGTTCACTGGATGGATGCCAACACTTCTCCGAGCAGGCAGAGGCATGTCATTGTGGGACAAAGCTTCAACCAAATCACCACCTAAAATGCTTGAGCTCTTCTCTTACGAGAACAACTCGGTACTATGCCTTTATCCAAGACTCTTCTCATTATTAATCTAACAAATCTTTTACGATTCAGACAAACTTTGTTGATCAAGGGGTTTTGATCTGTTCCATCTTCTTCCCCTTTCAGTATGCGCGGTTGGTTCGTGAGGCACTGTGTGAGCTAGAGCTTCCCTATGTATTACACAACACTGGAGAAGGGTCCACACAGACCAGATCACTTCTAAATGCTTCAGGATCCAATAAGGTCTATTTCTCAGCCATCCTCTCGTCTGTGTATACACTCTTAAAAATCACTTACCAAAGCAACGGTTTGAAACTGTTGTTGGCTTGAATTACAGGTTCCATTTTTAGTTGATCCAAACACTGGTGTCCAACTAGGTGATTACCAGAAGATTCTGGCTTACCTCTTCAACACTTATTCTTCAGCAGCATCTACATAGTGAATAGTCTGACATGTACATCATTATTCCCAAGGTACAAGCTTTTGACTCCACATGTTTTGACAAATACTGAGAAAACTGTTTTGACATACAAAACAAAATCCGAAACTTTTGGAGATCTGATGTGCCGGTATCACTAGTTAACAGACAAATTGATGGTGTCTCCAAGGATCTTTCGATAGAAAGTTAGTTCTGATGCATGCCCTATCATTACCACAGTGTCTATCCACTAGTCTACTATTAACCGCAACACAACCTGAAAGCGCTTGCCAGATGAAATGCTTTATCTTCCTTGATGTTTTCAGAGACCATACTTCACTCTTTAAGGTATTGGTATTTGGTTCTAAAACCATCTGAGGGCCTTCTGCATCTTGAAGGTTATTTGCTAATTCGTAGCCTGATTTCACAAAGTATGCACCCGATTTCGTATAAGCCCAGCAGAATCCATCTGCTTTAAAACCCCGGCTAGGTTTGAGGCTCTTGATACGGGGAATTTCATCTGGAGCACATAGCTTTTTGTAATCTATCAAGTCTTCACTCCTTTGTACTGATGTCAATTAAATGACTGACAAACAAATGGTGATCTCGAAAAGCCCCATTATCCAATAGCTGGTCTTGCTGAAACTACCGGAAACCATGGATCGCTCCACACTTTCCTGTTAAAACCCGATCCGATGGTCTTCCTAAGTCCCACTTTTTGGAGATCTCGCTTTTCCACCCATAGAACGGAGAGCATTCAACTTATTATATGTAGTTATACTTTGCTGTTATTTTTTTTTTTTTTATCTTTCACAATAATCAATTCATTTCTAAAATTTAAGATGGAGAAACGGTCTATTTTCCTCTGCCGTTTTAACCATCTTCATCATTTTTGCGTCAGGTTTGTATATTTATTGAGAATAATCTTAATCTATGCGTTCATAAATTTGAATACCATGCTATTTCTTATAAAAATCAATTCAAATGTTATACTTGTGTCACAACTATTTTTCACTATAGAATTTCATAATATCTATATTAGCTCTTTTTCTTATATACAAACTTAATTTTAAAAGTTCAAAAGAAAAACTTCCTTTTAGACCTATAAATTTGAGGTACAATGAGTTTGTGATAAATCTAGAGAACCGATCCTCAAATATATATTTAGAATTTCATATCTATTTTGGTTAAATTGATTCAATATACTTCGGTTCTAATTGGTAACTGTGGGAATGAGAAGAAATACTAATTTCCTTAATATTCTTTAAAAATTACATCATTTAAAAGAAATATATCATATCTATGATTCGTTCTCATTCCTTATGTTTTAATTCTTTATGTTTTAAGAAACTGTAGTGTTAAATATTTCTTATCAAAGTTAAGAAAAACCAATAATTCTTCTTATTTTATTACTTTCATTCCTTTTTCAATTTATTCTTATTATTAATTTTATGGTCACCAATTAGAACTTTGCTTTTTCTTAATTTTGTTCACCATCATTTTTCTTTCTTTTTATGTCACATAGATTAGTGTCTTAAGCTACATGTAAATATTAATGCTTTGCTGATTTTGTATGTTAATTTATATTGTAATATTAAATTACCTGTACGTAAGCATGTAGTTACAATGTTACGTTTTTGTCAAAAAGATCAATGAATATTTGTTATTTCAAAATATTTATTTTAATGATACGATAAAATACTACTACCTTTCATTTTCATTACAAAAAATTAAGATTTTATGGTATTTATATAAAAAAAACAAGTGTGGTAGGGTATATGCAACAAACACCAATCAATGCAGCATGTACTAGCTTCATACCTAAAAATCCTGGGCTATGTATTGACGTACAGTGTGACCGTTTGTGTAAGCAGAAGTTTAAAGGGAAGCCGATTATGTGTGATGGGGATACTGCCAAAGCAAAAGCTGCTAATAGTTTTTTTTTGAATAAGGGCTTCAAAAGCTGCTAATAGTTGCCGCTGCGTATTATGTTGATATACCAAATATAAAATGTAGGATACTGACCGTAGTTTTTTAAAAAAATTTCTCTACAATAAAACTTCTATTATATTTAAATAAAAATCTTATAATAAAGTACTAAAATTTTGTTGGAATTTGTGACCTGGTGGTTTATATTAGTATCGTTACCAATTTATGATATAGATTCATATATTGTAATTTGTGTTTCTGAATTGTGGAGAACCAAAAACTGAGGTTTTTTCTTGTAACGTTCTTCTTCTCATCATCATCTCTTGTTTCTTGTATCACAAGTCTAAATCCACTGTTATTTTTAATTCCCAAATTGTAACTATTTGCTACTGCTTGATTACTTTCTCTAGCACATTTTCCCTTAAATCTACATACTACTTTTAGGTTTTAAAAGATCTTCCTATTCATCGATCTCGGATCATATAAGATCACTGATCATCTTTTTGAAAAGACTCAATTGCAAAAAAAAAAAAAATCTTAAGGAGAAGAAGAAAAAAAGATTACATCTTGATTATCCTCTTCTGATAAAACCTAAGATTCCTGGATCATTCAAGATTAGACCTGTGATATGTTCAAATTATTCCTAGAGCTACTTTCTCAAATTAAGAGATCAATACAGTATTTAGGGGTGAAATCCAAAGAAACTTAATATCATTGCATAGTAAAAAATTAAATGAATGTAATGCAAGCAATGAAGAGAAAGCAGTAAATTCGATCGGGAGATTTTAAATCCAATAAGACAAAACTTTAGGCTTTGAAAAATTCGTAGGATGAGTTCTAAGATGCAAATTCGAAAACTGTCAGGATATTTATTAAGATATGTTCTAGAACTCGAAACACAAACTATAAAATCAATCAAGTCTCTTGCAGAGATTATATATGTCTAAATTCCAGAATTTTAAATATCTTTGCAGATTCAAACAATTTAGACAAGCATTAAAATCAGGTTCAATAAGTTCACAAAATTCATAAATCAAATCTCTTTGCAGATAGTAATTATGCTCATCTAGATAGTTATGGTGATCAATAATACTCTCCCATCTATTAATCAGCCTAAGATCTGAATTTAAGATGATTAATCCCAAAAACAGTATTAAAACAATCTAGATGAAGAATTCTATTAATTTATCCTTACAGTAATTCGATTTTAGCAACTCATAATCAACTTTTGAAAAACTCTAAACCTAACTAGCAGATTACTCAGACATGGTGATTAAAAAACATCATAAATAAAATAAACTGCATAAAAGAGAAGAGAAATATACAAAAGGGGTTCAAAATTCTCTCAAGAACATAGTATGGATTTGTCTCCTCAAAAGCTCCTGATCTAATCTCTCTCAAAATCTCAAAGAATATAAAACTTAGGTCTAAACAATGACCATATAAATCCTTTTATAGACCCAAAACATGAGTGGGACAAAATTGTAAATAAGTGAATTTCTGAGCCAATTTTCTTTTCTTCCAAAGTCGGCTGAAACACGCAATCCTTTTGCATCCATGATCGGTGTTGACCCTGCTCCAATATGCTCTATGAATTGGTCTTTTCAGCATCAGCTTCAACATAGCTCCATAATGTCCCAGAATCTACAATTATGCTCCAAACGTATCTGAACTTACAAAGACTCTAAAAGACTCGGAAAATACCAAAAATACCTAATAAAAAGGACTTATATGATGGTCAAAAACGGGTAAAAACTATAATATATGAATTTCTCCAGACTTAGCTTTTGCTTTATCTCAAGCAAACAGAAAACTAAATACAGAGTCGAACTTTGAAAACACGGGAACTCACCTTCTCATAGATCATTGTTTTGAATGTTTATCTTGTAATCCACACATTGCAATAACTAAACCAAATCGAACCACCATGTACTTCTCCTTAGACATTCACAACATCCCAAATTCAACACATAATCTATAGTATTATCTATTAACCATTATTGCTAAACCTTTTCAGTGGTCTAAATGTTCATGAATCTTCTAGAATCATTCACATACTATATCTACATAAATTAGCACTGCAATCTATCAACTTTTGGTACTCTTTCTCTTTCTAAGACTTATTATTTTCTTATGTTTCATTCTATTACTTCAGGTGTAGGTAAATAATGGTATCATGGGATAATCCTAACCTTACTTACCTGTGATCATCTCTTTAAAATAAAATAATGCGATCATTGGAAAATTTCTTACCATTCACCTAAAGAGAATCATCTCAAATTTTCAAAAATTCATCATCATTTTTCACTTAACTTCAAACCAGGGAGAGAAGTACCATTACTTTTTAAATATTGCATGCAATTTATCAGATATAAATGGAGAATCAAGCTCTATAAACATCAAACTCACTAACTTAGTCTTTTAAAAGCTTAGGTTTAATGGACATTGCTGGAACTATGTTTGTTTCTAGTTAACTGGCCAGCCTAATTTTTTTTCATTAGTCAGATATTGAAGTTAATCATGCAGCAATGACTACTCAGATGAAACAACCAACACAAACATTCAAGAAAATTTTTCTAGTTCCCAACTCATTTTTGACTTAATAAAACAGATTTTGACGCAATTGACTGACTCTCAAAACAAAACACATTGTTAGCAACATCCTCACCCAGACTTAAACAACAATGTCCACATTGTTATCAAGCCCGAAGTTGGTAAAAAGTAGTGAAATAGAAAGAACAGAGAATGGGGATTTCTTACCCGTGTTCGCATCTGGTGTCGATCGACACTGACCCATATCGATTGCTGTTCATTTCCAAGTCCTGTGTTTGTTTTTGAGATCGGATTCTACATATGAATCTGATTAACTAACCACGTTCTTCTCATAAATTACCGAACTTATAGCTTAATCTATCCAGAATACATTGTTACCAACCCAGATCCCTAAATTTTCAAATCTAAATCTCTAATTTTACCTAATTAAAGATGAATAATTAGCTTAAAAATAAACCTTCTATGGCAGAGGAGGAGCAACTGCAGAAGAGGAGAAAGAGTCAGAATTTGGGTCGGTAAAACAAGATGTTGGCTCCGGTGAGAGCAAAAAAGAGAGGAAACTCCGGTGAGAGAACATCAGAGATGGGAGATCAAGGGGGAGGGGTTGGCGGCTCGTCGAGAGAATAAGCTCGGGGTCAAAGAGGGAAAGGGATGAGCAATTTTGGTTTTTTGATTTTTCAAATTTTTTATTTTTAGTTATTTTATTTGTACCAAATCACTAATTTACTTTTACTTTTAATTTTACTCAATTAATTCATTAAAGAAAATATTGTAAATTTCTTCCTCCTTTAATTGATTCAGTGGCATTAGATTGATGAATGACATAAGATATCAATTTTTTTTTAAAAGTGGCATTTGAGCCTCATGCTCTTTTTTTACTTACAACTAGTGTTTTGTCCAAGCTACGCGTGAGTTGTATAATTATATTGTAGTTTTATAGAAGGTTGTCAGTTAAATTTGTGTTTAATATTGTGATAAATTATAGAATAGTATATTTACATGTGATTCTTAGATATAGTCGAGTGAAGTAAATATAAAAGGAATATATATATATATATATATATATATAAAGATGAACAAAATTTTTGTATAATAATTTGAAGGTAGATTAATGTATCTTATGGGTTAGTTGGACTTATTTTAAGAGTTAATGCATGTTTTTACAAATATAAAGGGTAAAATTTAACCATTTTTGTATGATAATTTTATTTGTTATATCTTTTATTTATGTGAATAGTGTTTACATGAACTATATATTATATTAGAAACCTATTGTCAAAATTTGGACATCTTACGTTATAATGTCATTTCTTTTGTGAACACCATGAGTATTATTTTACACTTTCATTAACTTTTTGAATAATCTTCTCTTTCGTTTGATGTTTTTAGAAAGAAAAACTTAATCCTTACTCCATTTTTGTTTCATATTGTACGTTAGGATTTTATTTTTAATTTTCATATAATATGCATTTCTCTACTTATCAATTTTTAAAGATTTAGTGTGT